GAATAAGATAATTTGAATCAGTTTTCATTTACACAGGGCAGAGCATATAGGATCAAACCATCTCCTTGACATAGGTGCTTTTCCAACAAGAAATATTTTTATTAATTATTATGTCATCAACCTATATAAGTGGTGCATAATCTGAACTGTAGCCCCTCCAAGTATTTTGAAAGTTGAATTGTAAATATAACTGTGAGTATTGCTTAAAGTTATATTAAAACTAGGGAAAGTGTTTTCTCCTTTTAGGTTTTTTTTTTTAAAAAAGATTGAATCTATATAGAGGATTCATATTATCCCCACAGCGATGAGAAGCAGAGACGGTTAAGCTGACCCTTTTATCCAAAGATGAGAATACATTTAAGCTAGCTTCTATTTTGAAACTGCTTCCAGATTTTGTGTTTACAGTGAAAAAGAAAATGAAAATTTGATTTTGTTTTTGTTAATCAGATAAGTGTATTGTTATAGAAATGATTTGTACATACTGTTGTGTAAAAGCAAAAAGTTGTGACTGTAATGTTGTTATCTTCTACTGTGCAAAAGAGAGTCGGAAGTTGGTGCCTTTTTCTTTTCTCTTCTTTTCTTACACTGTCTTTTTTTCCCCTTCCCCCTAATTTTCTAATTCTCTATTATTTTTTTAAATTTCTTTTTGTATTTTATATTTTGATAAACCAATAAAATTATTAAAAAAAACAATTATAGCTTTTAGCCAGCATGTGTATGCAGAAAGCTATTCTTGGATTTGAATGTGGTATGTTAGGTCTATATTCCAAAAGTATTATAGGCTAGGCCAGGATTAAAATATTCTATTGTGATTTTGTTAAATTCACCCATTTTGGAACTTTAAATCAGATCCCTCCAATCAGATTGTGTAATCTCTACACAATTCAAATTATATAGAAAAGTAAATCCTGCTTTCAAAGATGCAAAACTAATATTTTAAAATCAAGCTATCTGTTTCTCATTCTTTAGAATAAAAGACCTTTTGAATGTCAATATTCTTGTACCGGAAGTCATAAAGCAATAAAAAGAAGCCAGAACCAAGAACATTCTAACCTACAGTGTTTTTAAATTATTTATCTAACTCTGTATTCTCCTTTCTTCTTACAGTCATTTTAATTAACTTTGTATTGTTTCATTATGAGAAGAGTGGATATTGGAGATAAGCTCTCATTTTTAACATTTTGGTTTTAATTGGGTGGGCTTTTCAGGTGCTGAATTATCTACCAAGAAAATAACTAGCTTTTATCACCTTTCTTCACATTTTATTCCAGTACTTCATAATGCAGGAGGCTCTTAATATTAACTCCGTGCACTACAGTCTTTATTTACCACCCTTTTCCATTGTGTCTGTCAGCTGGAACAAAAGTGGCTTAATGTGCTTTCTTTAAACCAGGATTTGACTCAAACCTTTGCTGATTTTTTCCCCACAGCCATCTAGGGTCAAGAAAATATTGAAACCTATCTGCCTACCCACTTATCCTCCTTCTATGCAAGATTTCTGTCACATTCTGTGAACTCTTGGTATTACTTCCTATCTGTGAATGGGTTCATCATTGTCATCATCATATGTTTTAAGGCTAAAATGAAAGAATATTGCATTTTGTTAGAAATGCCTAATTCAGCAAAATTTGCCCTTATAAACTGGACTGATTCAGCATATTAACATGGAGCTGATCCAAACTTCTTGCTTGCCTGGGGTGAGAATGGACTACTACTATTTTAAGAGAATAGTTCTTTGGAGTTCTTGGTTCTTTCTGAGCCTGGTAGTTTGCTTGCAGATGTTTAATTATTCAATTAAGTAACATCACCATTCTCACCACCCAACTAGGTTACATGATGGCATTATGTAATTGGGTGATGATATGGAATGTATGGATGGGCTTGGGGAACAAGGGAAAAAATTCTATATAGGAAACAATCAGATTGAGAGAGATGAGCCTCCAATGGATTAGTGGTCAGAGGAAAAAGAATTAAGAAGGTCAGAGGAAAAAGAATTAAGAAGGACCTGCCCTGATTGATCAGGTGATTAAAAGTACCTTCAGAGTTGCAAGATTCTGTAAACAATAAAGTAGAATTAGCTCATTGAATTGTGTTGCCTATCTGGTTTAGCCAGGAGAGCTGACAAGTAATGAACCATATATATGCAAATAACCAAGTTCAGCGAGCACCAAGGATTCCATAGCTCAAGCCTGAGATTGCTAGATAGCTAGACAGATACGCAGACAGATAGATTATATAGATGATAGATTAGATCTATCTATCTATCTATCTATCTATCTATCTATCTATCTATCTATCTATCTATCTATCTATCTATCTATCTATCTATCTATCTATCTATCTATCTAATCTATCATTTATCTATCTACACACACACACCACACACCACACACACACACACACACACACACACACACACACACACACACACACACACACATATATATATATATATATATATATATATATATATATATATATATATAGAGAGAGAGAGAGAGAGAGAGAGAGAGAGAGAGAGAGAGAGAGAGAGAGAGAGAGAGAGAGAGAGACAGAGAGAGACAGAGAGAGACAGAGAGACAGAGAGACAGAGAGACAGACAGAGAGAGAGAGACAGAGAGAGAGAGAGAGATGTTTTTGGGGCCTGAGCTGAGTGAGGAGGAACAGATGGGGCTCATCTCAGATGCGCGTATGCATAGAGAGGACTGCTATGGAAGGCAATGGGCCAGCTCTCAGGGAGAAGGAGGAGACGTTAGCCAGCCACTCCCTGGCTAGAACATAAATAGACATTGACATTGTCTCAGCCAGTGTGAGCAGGGACTGCTACTGCTTGGTTAAGCATTTAAAGTGGTTATCTGGCATTCTCATGTGAACAAAGTTTGTTCCTGCCTTGTTTAATAAAAGGGGTTTTACTCACGAATAAGAAGTTTTCCCCCTTAACCTGCTGTGAAAATTAACTCTGAGTTTTCTTGCTCCACATAAAGAAAGTTTTCTTCCCTTTACTGGCACATCCAGGACGATTGTCCCTGGTGTCTGCCTTAGTCCACCATTTCATGTCGATCAGCCATGAAAGACTAAACCTTTGTGAGTTTGTTTTTCCCCATTAGATTCAGGAGAGGAACTACAGTAGCTGTTTCTTTGTTCATGCTTCAATAAGATGAAATTGAGAAGAATTCTGCTTTTCTTTCCCAAGTGATGGATAGAACTTGAAAACTGCTTTGTTTTCAGAAAACATATTCTCCACAGAAAGAAAAGAAATTGATGCTTGGTTTCCCAGCAAGAGGAGAGGGGTGGATGGATGAGCAGTTACAAGGGAATTCACCAATTCAAGGCCATGATAACTGGGATTCCAACAAAAAAGCCTGAAAAAAATGTCTCAATATGGCCAAAGTGGAGGAAAATGTTGAAATCTAGAAACTGAGTCATTTGCTTCCAATTTACACATAGAAACCCATGCAGTTGAAGGCTCCAGTGAAGAAAAGCACTTAGCCTGGAAGATAGAAACACATTAATGTATACAGTATTACAGTTTATGACTTGTAGGATACAGATGCACAGATGACTTTAGCTCTGGACTATCTTACTTTCTCTAAGTCAAACTTTAAAACATGGAAGCAGAAGCTAATGTAAGTACAGTTGAAAAAGCTATGGAAAGGAAGAACCCAGCTTTTTAAACAGTTAATTTTTGAAGCAAGAATGCTATGAAGAAACGTTTCTTTCAAAATGTTATAGATCATAAGTGTCTTTTCACTAGGGATAAAAACTACAATGATATATGTAACATTAAACAAGTTGTAGATATTTAATTTGACTCTTTGGAAAACAATATTATCACTTTTCCATCAGTAAATCAGAATCAGAAGCAACCCATAATTAAGGAGAAATATCCTAACAGTGAGGACAATTAGCCAATGGAACAGCTTGCCTTCAGAAATTGTGGCTGCTTCATCACTGGATGTTTTTAAGAAAAGACTGGACAGCCACTTGTCTGAAATGGTAGAAGGTCTCCTGCTTGACCAGAGGGTTGGACCAGAAGACCTCCAAGGTCCCTTCCAGCTCTATTCTAATTAATAAAATTAAGTTTCCTTTTAAGATTCCCCCCCCCACATTTTAGATTCTTCTGAGAAATATGATTTTACTATTTAGTCTAAGAGGATAAATATTTTGCACTAGCTGAGCCTAGAAGTAAAGCTAGCCTTGGGAATCTGATATTTTTGTCAAATGACAAAAGTAACATTGCAATGCAAGCTGTACCCCTTTCATAAATCTATATAGTACCATAGGGCATTCATAAAATGCACAGATTGTGTTATGCTGATGCAATGCTGTTTTCATATTTTAATTAATCAATTTGATTCCTATAGCCACCCATCTCAACAAATGATTCTATTATTATTAGTCTCTACCTTGAGCACTCTACGGACTTCTGTTTAGAAGACAAACAATGCAGTATATTTTGCAAAATTACTGATAGCAATGACATAGAAATGGAGGAGGTGAAGACATTTCCCAAAAAAAAGCATCCATAGGTAGAAGAGGGGGGCAAAGGTATTTTTGTTACTACTACAGACATACAAATGTTGTAGGTAAGTTTAACATTGTATATAACCTGACTTGAATTCTATGACCTTCTGTTCTTTTGGGTAGATGTTATGATAGACCAAGAAAGAATGGATGGTAGAAACTTTCTAAAGCATTGCTGTCACCTAATAGAAACTATTCAGATCATAGAAAACACTTCCACTCAATATATAGTGTTTCTCCTTCCTAATACAATCCCTGTAACTCATACTAGTCCATACAAGAATGGGATAGGAAGATATTAGGGGACAAAGTTTCCTTCCATTTCTATATCTCAGGAGCAATCCAAAGACATTTAAAAAAATGTACCACTGAATGTTTGAATGCAAAGCTTTATAATAGAACTCCAATTTCCAGGAAGTAAGTATTTTCAACTGTAATCAGGAAAAAGATTGACACGTGTGATGTTTATCTTCCAGCAAAGAATTCCTACAGGCAAAGAGACTCCTCAAGTTTCTTCAAAAAAGGTGGATACCGATAAAAACACATCAGAATGCAACTCAAAAGACGTAAGTGCAATCCATTTAGATTGGAAGTCAAGATCTAATCTGTAGTATATGTGAACCATGAAATATATGGATCTATATCTATTTAACTTTAACCATGGAAATATGACATACAGTTTTATATTAGGTGAATACAGATGTTTGATATTCAGGTGCTACAAAAGAGATCCTTTTTGATGTAATAGGTTTTTTTCCCCTCTCTGTGGCTGTACTTGACTAATAGAATTTGTAAGATTGTTAGGAGAATGAAGCAACTAGAGAAGATGTGATCTAACTACAAATTAGCTCCAGTCCACTTGGAAAATTTACATGTGAATTCACCACAGCAGATCTGTTTGTTTTCAAAATGTGTGCTACCTTTTAACGTACCTTGAAGCTTATGTGTGCTTCAATGTTAGAAAGTGCCTGGTGCGAAGAACAAGCTATAATAGAACTTTATACTGTAACATTAACAGAAATGATGGTGTGTGTCTTTTCTGGTTTTCCAAATGCACAAAGAAGGGAGATGCGAGAGAAAGTGTAAATTACTAAACTATAGCAATAATTTCTCATGCAAGAAATAAATTAAGATCTTATAAAGAAAAAAAAAGAGTTACACATGGAGAACAAAATGACTAATAACAAGGCAGATTTCAGAGAAAGGCATAGAGACACATTATCAGATAACTAATGTAAGATGGATAACAGAGAGGCAAAACAATATAAGGAGATTGACCTTTGCTCTGTGAACTGTGAACAGACTTTTGAACCTTCAGATCCTGGCAGAAAATGAAATATATTAAGGTTAATGAGAGTGGCAGAACACTGATTATTTTTCTGGGCAACTGCTATAATTATTCCATAAATTGAATCTGGAGAAATCAAATGATTCAAAATAAGAAAGGAAGTAAGATAAGACTCTGTATTGCCCCCATATCTGTTTACTTATATATAAAGATATTATATTGGTAAAATGGGGAGGGGGGATATATGACAGCTGCAATTAAACTAGGAGGCCCCAAAAATCACCATGTATCTGTGTGTAAGTTGGGAGATTATATAAATTTGCTAAACAAATAAATAAATAAAATAAGACCGTTTTGTTACTGGAAAGTAAAGAAGAGTTGGAAGATTCATTCTCAAAGTTAAAGTGGAAAGTAGAAATTTGGGCATTAATGCTAAATATTAAGAAAGTAAGAGTAATGTTTATTTTATATCTATTTATATTTCCTATTTCTAAACTGCCTATCTCCCTGAAGCATGAGCTCTGAGCAGTGTATAATACACTATCAGCATATAAAGAAGTGTATAAAATTAATATTAAAATATTAAAATTAATTTACGATTAAAATTTTAAAGTTACAAAAGTTATAAATTTAAAAAATTCAAAGAGACAAAAAAGGCAATTTAACCCTGTTAAGATTGTACTAATAGAGACAGGGAGAGGGCTCTCTTGATGCTAAACAGCCCCATGATTGCATGATCTTTTGAGCCCCCATGCAAGGCCACAGAGTCATATTTTGAGCCCTTTTTGGAAGGTTAGGAGAATTGGGGTCCGCCTCCACAGTGCAAGGGCCAACAGCAGTGAAGGGTCTCTTCTTAGACCAATGTTAACCAACATGCTTAGGAAATTTACAGTTCACAGTGAAGAAATGAAAGTGACAATTGGTTTTATTTCTTGAATTCAAAAATAAAGATGACCAATATGATGGATAAATAAAAAGGAGATATGTGTTAGAGAAAGAAGACATAAACTCAGACAAAATCAAGACGAATAGGACATTTTCTGATAATAAAGATCAAAACGATAAAGCAATGGTATTTCCAGTAATTATGTATGGTTGTGAAAGGTAAACACAGAAAGTATGTAAGCTAAATACCTTTGAATTATGGATCCAAATGTGATTACTACAAGCACTATGCACAGCAAAAAAAAGTGATTAGTTGATATTGGGAAAAAAAAGATGAACTCACATGCTTTAGGCAGGTAGTGCTAATGGACAATAAACTAGGAGAAAAATAGTATTCCTGGCAAGCTGAGGAAGAAGGAAACAATTAGTAAGATGAATGGACAGTATCATGATTACAGGAATACACTTGGAAGAGATAGTACTTATTACAATAGACAGATTGAGATGGCAAGCATTTGTCTATGCAGATGACCAGGAAATGAGCTTATTTTGAAAGCATCCAATTAAGTAACTAGTTGGGCTAGACATACAAATAAAATAAAGTTTTCTCACCTGTGTAAGATAGGCTGTGTTTTCCTGTTCTTCTCTGACCTTTACATTATTTTCTGTGCTTGACATGTTACAAACAAAGTAATAGGAACTCAGTAACATATTCAAATGGAATAATCAAAATAAATTCCATGGGGTTTGATGTGAAAATAAATTACTACTCTTTAGCACCAAGTGTGAATTTCTTAGAGCTACTATTTCTCATTAAGCTTCTGTTTCCAATAATGATCTACAAGGAACTGTGTACAGTGGGGAAAGAAAAAAGAAATAATAAGTAATTAATGAGCCCAAACTATATAAAATGATACTCTGCCGAAAATATATGGCTCATTTTATTGCAAAGGAGCAAGTTTGCCCCTGTGTGTATTTCCTTCCTTTCCATATACATGCTGAAATCCTTCAGTGTCTGAAACTGAGCACATAGTTTTTCAAACTTTGCAAAAGTAAAATGTTTTAGTTTTATTTAATGCTTGATTGCTGTATTAAAAGTTTGTAAGTACAAAACAAAAATAATTTTTATGAGAGTTTTAAATCTTAAGTTCCCATTATTCTATTCTATTTTATTATTCTATTCCATATTTTAAAAATCTAATTAAATTATATCCATACAAAACATAATCCGTATTTATTCATTCAAGTAATTGATTGAAATTAATAAATTTATCATAACTAAGCTAGCTACAATTTATTGCAATTAGCCTCTTGTCAGCATGATACCATAGAGAACATGTGATTAATCTTTTGTTAGGTAGGACATATAATCCCTTAAATTAACTAAGGGGTCATTTATTGAGTTTGCACATCATACCAAGCCTTAGTGATCAGCTTATTTCATTTACACCTGGCATGATGTCCAAACAGCTATTGTGGCTTTTAAATAATGATTTATGGCATAAAACAAAATGTAAGGTATGTGGAATGACCAATGGAGCAGTCAGATTAGAGACAGCATAGCCGGCAGCTGGACGGTAGGACAGTCAAGAGGCTCAGAAGAAACCTTCTCTAGTTGTTTGGGTTGTAAAGGAGATGTGGGGGGTGGGGGGTGGCAGAGAAGTATGGTTTCAGACTTGTAACATTCTGTTAACATAGCTTTGTAATAATCTAAAATTGGCTCATCGGGTTTTGTTTCCTATCTGGTTTGCCCTGCAAGGCTGACACATAGAAGTATTTAAACAAAATATTAATCTGGTGATTAAGGCACCAGAGACTCACCAGGAAACTGTAACTTCCAATCCTTAGGCCTGAAAGCCAGTTGTGTGACTTTGGGCCAGTAACTCTCCCTCAGCCCGACTCACCTCACAGGGTTGCTGTGGGGAAAATAGAAAGATATGTTTGCCACCTTGATTTATTTATAAAAAATTAATAAAGATATGTATATGTAGTGAAATAAGCCAAAGGAAATGCATTGATGTATCTGAATATGATGATTTATTTGAAAGAAGCCAAGCAATGTGAAAATTCACTCCAATCAGACTAAATCGAGGGAATCAATAATTTAAACAAATAATATGGGATAATTGGACATCACGCCTCATATTTTGAGATTATTTTCTCTCAAATTCTCCTAGAGTTTGGCATTTGAGATTACTAGAATATATATTCTAGTACTATATATGTTATTAGAGTTTCAGTGAAAACAATCTCAAAATATTAGGCTTGATGTCCAGTTATCCCATAGTATTTGTTTAGATTATTGATTCCCTCAATTTTAGACTGATTGAAGTAAATTTTCACATTGATTGGCTATTTTGATATAAATCATCATGTTCAGATAAATCAATGCATTTCTCTTGGCTTATTTTACTACTTAGCTTTGAAGGAAAAGATTTAAATAAGCCCAATTCCTGAGTCGATATTTTTTTTCTTGTTTTTTTTCAATCCTATTTATAATGAACTACAAACATTCCTACTTGTTACATATATTCCATTTTTATCTAAGAGTTATAATTGATAAAATAAACCAATTGCTGAGATGATCCTTGTCTGTAGCATGCAGCTTTTCTAAACAAAAACTTGCTTCACCAGTTTAGTTGAATATCTTTGTAGTCCCATTGTTACAATTTAAAGCTCCAATTGCACAGTGTAATTGTCAAGAAGCATGTGATTTTGCGATTCTGATTTTTTTTTCCCTCACAAATTATTTTAATGAAGATGCATACTTGAGTAATCCACTTTCATAATTTATGGTCCCAATTGTGTACCTTGCCAGCTTTCCTGTTTAATTCACTGGCTGAACTAACTTTGGGAATGGTTGAATTTTTACATATTTTACTGATCAAGCTGCATATTTCATCATTTGAGTTTTGCGCACCCAGGTACTTTTGCTGATCAAAGTGCATGGTAAACTGATCAAGGAGGAATTACTTTTAAGCAGAAGCTATGCTCCTGTTTGCTATAGCTATTTTAATATCTCTCTTTATGATTTTCAGGGTTTTTCTTTTACTCCTTTCTGCATAATAGGAATAATTATATTGCATCATGATTATATTTTATTTTAAAAAGGCTGTTTTGCATAATAAGCAGAGATTCAGCATCAATAAATTTTGCCCACTTAAGTTGTTCTTTTTTAGAGCCAATCTACTGTATTTTAATAATGACTGATAACTAATATTAGCATCCTATGCAAAATAAATATAACTGACATTCCTAAAGAAATAATTCTGAGTTAGAATGTCATAAAACAACACAGGGTTTGGTTATCAGGTATTATGGAAACTAGAGCCCTACTAATGTTGTTTAAATTATGTTGGAACCTTGTGGAGTTTTTTTTTCCCCTTCATTGCA